GTGGACGGCGAGCAAGCACCTGGAAAAMCACTCAAGCTGAGCCTCACGGGAAACGATAAAAAGTACTTGGAAGGTTATCATACCCTATTTATTGGAACGGGAAAGTATCACGATGACGCTAGAAATCAGATCTCTCGCTCTGACTACCAACAAGGTTATGGGTTCTTTGATGTAACAGATCTGCGCATTTTGGTCTCAGACAGAGAGGAAATCTATCCCTTGAGATAATCTTCAGTACCGCCTTGACGGGAGCTAACAGCCTGCTTTGCCTTGGCGAGTTTGAAAACGTCCTTGAAATTGATAGACTTTTCACTTAATTCAAGTGATGGAACAAGACCCAAAGAGTCGAAATAGATTTTGCGGTGTTTTTGCCGCGGTTACCCTTCCAGCTACAATCCCGCAATTCCCGTGCAGTTTGATTTTTAATACCGCACCTCACCAGGATAAAGGGACGCATTGGCTTGCGGCATACTTTTCATCAGATCAAGAAGGGGAATTTTTYGATTCTTATGGWAAYCMACCAGACTTTTATCGTGAAAGCTTCAAAACATTTATGGATGATCATGAAAATACTTGGAAGTATAACCATCGATGTTAACAAAGTTTCTCTTCAAGCACATGCGGGCAGTTTTGTTTGTATTTCATAATGACCAGAAACCGTGGCAAATCGTTATCTTCGATTGTTAATTCGTTTAGCAAAAATAAATAAATAAATGATCACCGTGTAATCATGTTTGTTCGTAGATATCTCAAGCTTTCAAAATCAAAAAATGGAAACAAAGATATTCATCAGATAGCAGTTTCTTTCGTAAAAAAAAAACAAGAGAAAAAAAACAGTAGGATTGTGAAATTAGTCTAATGTGTTTTATTCAAATAAAGAAACAATTATCACATATGAAAAAGTCAGTGTCCTAATATGTAATCCAATTTGGTGAATAACGTTCGGCCTTGGATAGTCTAGTATTACGAGTCTTGGACGTTCTCGGTGATGTTGGTGGAGTTGGTGGAAAAGCATAGATGAGCCCTTCTTCAGTAGAACGAGGAGTTTTCTTGATTTTTAAGTAGTGATAAGTAGCTTCGGCGTTTCTCGTTGCGCATCAGGTATTTGGGCATGTTTATCTTTTCCAGTGATTCTGTAAACTATTTCCACCCAGTTGTATTAAAACTTTTTCTTGTTTTAAGCTGATCATTTATCAAGTCGATGATGTTCGAACCCGAGACTGGGTTTCCATCAACAATCAATTCACCTTTGTTGTTCCATGTTATCTGATCACGGTTTGCTTTCAAACGATTAATCAATTGTTTTTTGCCAGAAGGATTTATCTCGACTTGATTATCGTTGTATGATGATGATGATGATGCAGATGCAACCACTTCAGGTGCAGGTGGATTTTCCTGATAAATTTTGACAGTGGTGATGAATTCCCGTTTCTTTTCACTCGCATCAAGAAACTATTGAAGATTCTGGTTGTATTGAGATACCTTTTTATCCTCGCTCTCTGAAGTGTCGCCTAGAATCCCGTCCATTTGTTTTTCAAGTCGAATCATCTTTTTAGTCTCGGGCGTGGTCATCAAAGCTTCTTTATGTTCCAGCATWTTCATGAATTCTTCAGGTACCAAAACCATCCTTTTAGTATACTTCATGACTTTTTAGAAAATACTTCTTGCAGAAATGAAATTACTGGTGGTAAAAGAGTCAGCAGAAGAGATCCTCCGGTCTGAACAAGATAGCGTTTTTATGCTTTATAGTAATCTGACGCTCCGCTAAGTTTCTGAGATGCATTTTGAACCTGTGAAGTTTAGCCTTCTGAGCTGATGTTAACTTAACAATTCCTTTTAAGACGTTGATGGCGATTTCTGATATAGTTAAAATCAAGTCTTTGTCGCAATGTTCAATCAGAGTTTTACGCTGCTTCTTGTTACACTTGACTAGAACGTTAAGAAAATCAATATTACGTCTTACACTTCCGACATTTTACTCAAAATGATGTCATTCCTGGTGTTTGTTAATTTTTATCTCAAAGCTTCACATATGCCGTGTGCCTCTCGTCCGGAAAAATATGAGTTCGAAGTCTAAAACTGCTGGGCGTGGAAGGATGCATGTCGTACAACAAATATCCGTACGGTTTATCGGTAGCATCTTGGAAATTTTCTAACACGTGCAAGCGATCCTTTTTGTTACAGAATACTTGTTGGATAAGTGTAGAAATCCCCAAAGAGTCACGACAGTTTTTAAAGGCAAAAATGTAGTGACAGTTCAAAGAAATTGTTCGTGAAAATTTTCCAGGAGGAAAGAGRTTTTGCACAATGTAGATGACTGTGATGTTTCGGTGATGAGAATGTTTGGTCATGATATCTGACATKAGTTGRTTATTKGAACACGCACCCATCAGATCGTCCACAATCAAGATACCTGGTTGATTTTCAAATAAGTCCARTATATCTTCTGGAAATCCTTGCACAAAATTTATATTGGGAATCTGTTCCTTAAATTTGACAAAGCAGGGTTGATAGGCTCCATAGTAGTAGATTATCTTGAGCATTTCATCTGTAAACATTTCTTCTACATTTTTTAACAATTTCAAAGTTAAAACGTCTTTCCGCATTTAGAAGGTCCTGCAATCATGATACTAGAAGGTGTCTCAATTTTAATATCCGTCATGGTTGGATTAAAGTGATCAAGTGATAAAATATTCTCYTGTACATCAAATATAAATTGCTAAAACAGTTATTTAGACAGTGTTAAACTCCTCCATAAGTTTTTCAAATACCCCTTCATACTTCTGGGGGTCTCTTTCATCATCGTTGCACAAAAGTCGAATTGTGAAGAACACACCATTTGCGCCCTATGTAAGAGACTATACATCTTCACCAGATTGGGAAGTTTTCCGTTTTTGGATTCTTCACGTATATCATCACTACAATCAGACATGGTAAAAAAAATAACACTTTTCAAGGACAACTTTTCAAGAACAAAATGTAATTTTCACTAAGCAGCGACGCTTTAAAATCTTTCGGATAACTGAATGCTGACGTAATGAACACAATGACTACAAATACAATAACATATTTTAATTCAACCATGCAAGATAACCCGTGTAACACATTGATGATTATTATAATTACTGTCGTTTCTTAAAAGCTTTCAAAAWGCTCAATAATTTTCATTTCAAGTTCCTCTTTTCTTCTACTAAAAATATCACTTCTGCTATCCTTACACTCATATCGCAATAGTTCAATATTGAGTGTTCATTTGTGTAAGCAAGGAACGTTTTCATGGCTTCTTCTTCATTCACTCYCTCAAGAGCTTCTGTGAGGTACCACGATGTCATCGTCTTGTTATCAAGCATCATACAGTCGTGCCGGCGCTGTGAAGGATGATCAATCTTGCATCCCTCGCAGTTTTCTCTCGTAATATGTTCAGCAAAGGCTTTGATTAAAAGTTTTTCCAGGGACTCTTGTCTGGGAGAAAGTGGCGGCTTGATTTCAGGGATRAGATCTTCAAAATTTGGGTTCTCGATTTCCAAAACAAATTTTTTGGTTGACTTTGATTTGACACCCAAGAGAGAAGATCGTTTTCAAACTCGATATTTGATGTACTCAGATGTACTCCTTAATCTTCATCACATTCGAAACACTGTTCGAACAACGCGTACATGGGAAAAAGGTCTTCAAGAGTAAGAACCCGTAAAAGAATCGAATCAGAGAGTAGAGTAACTTTTTCTTTCAAATTATTTGGAGGAAGCCATGAAATTTAGTTTTCACTTTTCAACTTAAACTCGGGTATTTTTTTAATTTATACTAATTTATATGAAAATTAAAAATTCACCGCCACTTTTTTGGCGAATAACCGCTGGTGCRGGCTCAGAAAAATGACCCTATAGGTGTACCCTTAGTAGTGCCGTCACGTTTTAGACCATAATCACTCAATCGTCGTTTAAGTGTTCTTATATTGATGTTATATCGTGATGCTTATTCAGAAAAAGAATGATATCCTTGTACCTAAATCCTTTATGAAAATAGTGCTCGATTAATTCCCTTTCAGAGCCATCAGGCAATTCTTCATTACTGTTGCTAGCCGCCATTTTGTATGGGCCGATTGTGGGCCCGCAATTCATGTCCGCTGACATGCGCGCGCGAGGGTTTAGGCTTTTGTTTGCATTATGCGATTTTATATTTTGTTTGCAGTGTGCGATTTTATTCTTTTTTTGCAGTGTGCTATTTTATATTTTGTTTGCAGTGTGCGATTGTATATTTTGTTGTTTTTTTTTATTTTTTTTTTATTTTTTTTTTTTTTGTAATGCGATGTATTTTATTTGCATCAGTTTCTTTTTATTTTGCAACGTTTGTAACTGTTAACAGAAGTTCAAATTCATCATCTGTCCAGATGAAAGCGTCTTGAGCGTCTGTTTTTTATCGCAGAAGACATGTAATTTGATCGATATGACCGTATTTGTGTTTTCAACTGTCCACAYTGATACGCTTGAATACGCTAGTGTGGACGCAGTTCAATCTATACGTTTTCACACCTATTGAAAGCGGATACAAACGCAAACGCTTTAGTGTGGACGGGGCCTGAGTTTCAAACTAGTGTTGGAGTTTTTGAATCCGTTTAAAACACTCGAGATCGTGTTTAAACTATACAAATAAAGATATATAGTATGTAACTATGAATTTTAAAAGAACGACATGGCTAGCTGAGTTAAAAAGGCAAAAACTACGAGCCCGTGAAATTGATTCCATGAGATAAAATAAAACTAATTTTTAAAACGGCTAGTCTGGATAGTCAGAATCCGGAATCTCGGAACTGTTCCGAGATGGCAGCAAGTGATGGAGTTTATGATTCTGATCTTTCATATTATCGATCACTGAAAAAGGAGTTCTGTTACATTGCAGTTGTTGGTACACTGATCATAGTTTTACTCGAGTTATGTAAGAGTTCTTCTTCATTAATTACTGATGACTGATCAATTGATGGGCTTATCCATTTATTGTGACAGCAACCAGACAGGACAGACGATGATTGTGAAGGACAAAGTCATTACCGTTGCAGTAACGTGGATGGAAGAAGAGGAACGAGAGGTGGTGATGGTGGTGATGGTGGAGATGCTGGCAAATCTGGTATGCGCTTATTCTTATAGTCTCGTTTGCGTCACTTTAATATTTAAATATTAAGTAGTCTCGCTGCAAAGTCTTTAACATTTTATTACGTTAAAGTGCATATATGGGTTCAGCAATTTTGGTTTAAAATAAAAGTTTAGACTGTCATGAATTATGTTTGGTGGGTTAAACTCGAAAAAAAAATTATTGTCATTTTTTAAGGCCTAAAAGTGCTAAAAATGCCTGTTTTGGGCCTCCTGTGCCAAAATTTTGGAGCGATGCAGAAGTCTGGTAACTAACATTTCATGACGTCATTCACGGAACTCGTCACCCAGAACAATATTATTTCCAGTCATTTTCCAGTCAAAAAACTATCAAAATTCTATTTAATTCCGTACTTAAGAATACGATTCCTCTTCCAAAATGCCCGATAGCAGTAGTCAAAAGTTGTGGTAACATAAWCAGTCGTGAAAACGCTATATTTCCTAGCACAAAATTCAGTATTACTGCGACCAGCGACAAGAGTCAATTCGACGCCGAAAGAGACGAGACATACACATAAGCGCTTGTTAGCGAACTTTGCAAAAACATTTGTGAGTAATTAGAGGAAAACACGGGAAACTCTTCTTTCCATAAAAGCTTGAATGAAGCCTTTTATAATAATACAGTTTGTCCGTCCATATTCATACACTTTGCCTAATAATGCAGGATATGATGGCGTAGCTACTCAATTTTTGGCAAAGTTTGCTCGTCCGCATAACCCTTTTATACAGAGAAAGTTCAAGTAACTGCTTTTCTCAACATTCGCAAAGCTTGAATGTCCACATATGAAACCTTTTTATACTTTAATAATAATAGTCACGCTAAACATGAAAATCAACTTCTGTAACTTGATTTTTATGCACGAGTTTGTCATCAACTCACAGATAGACTCCGAGTAGAGCGTATTCGACGGAAAATTTCTAAGTGCCAAGGCAAAGCCAGCGAGCTTTATACAAAGTAAGACTGCTTAAAAGGAGCGCTTAGTATTTCTAAACAAATTTCCCTTGTGTGGTTTCAATAGCGCTCCGCACAGTTACTAAAAATAGATACATTAATATGCGACCGCCTATGGACTCAGACATTGAACCCAAACACGCCATACAAACACACCAAAAAAACACTGATTTCATCAAGAAATATCTTCAATTATATTCGTACTAGAAGCTTTTAAACATAACGATTATGTCGAGTAAGCACTACTGCTTCATTGGMCCATGGAATATCATCTGTAAATGCCCTGAATGTCTCGCAGATCCGCTTAACGTCTTGGGACTTATGCCCGCTATCTAACCTATGTTGCGGTGTATATAAAATGTGTTTTATATACATTTTTGCCAGAAAAACTACTCTAGAAGTATTTGGAGATAACCGAAATTGGCTGCTTTAGTTGTTTTATAGGAGGAAAGTACACTTCATTAAAACGCATTTGATTCCATCGAATCTTAGCGGATCACGGCGTTGTGTGTCTTTATGTCAGACTTGAAAACTCAATCGAATAGTATTATCATTGTAATTATTTGAAGTAAAGAGAGCCACAATAGAAAAATAATATTCCTTTTATTGTATAAAGAGTTTAATCATTAATAGTTCCCAATAGTTATACAAAGTTTAAATTTAAACTGCGATTTCATAGCCCCATCTCTCTGCGCAATCTTTAATAAATCTATAAGTCTATAAATCTATAAGTCTCCGGAAATTTCCCACTGAGTGGAAGACAGCAAATATCATTCCTGCACATTATTCAGAGAGGTCTCAGCATGGTTTTACTGCAGGCCGCTCATGTGTGACCAAACTTGTCGAAGTCCTTGACACTATTGGTGGTCACTTAGATAACGGTCGTCAAATAGACGCTGTCTTTTTAGACATGTCTAAAACATTTGACAGAGTAAGCCATCGTAAGCTTATCACCAAGTTTGCCCATTGTGGTTTTAGTGGGAACCTCTTACTGTGGTTTGAATCATATCTCACCAATCGAAGTCAACGGGTCATCGTTCCCGGGGGTGTTTCCACAAATCAGCCTGTGACATCAGGGGTTCCACAGGGCTCGATACTCGGCCCAATTCTCTTCCTCTTATTTGCAAATGACGTGCCTAATGCACTCGAGAAGAGCAGCGTTTCAGCATTTGCTACGACATAAAAGTTTTCAAAGTCATACAATCGCGTGACAACATGACAGACCTTCAGACTGACTTGGACAATCTTGAGTCTTGGGCAACAGACGCAGGTATGGCATTCAACAATAAGAAGAGCGAGGTAATGTATGCCACCCGGAAGCACATTCTATTCTGCACTAAGTCTGAGAAAGACCTTTGGTGTATGGATATCATATGATCTTTCCTGGTCAAGACAGATATCTGAAGTTTGCTCCAAGCCTAACAGGACACTTGGATTTGTGAGATGTAACTCGATAGCTATTAAGAACACAGCTATTAGAAGATCTATGTACCTAGCCCTCGTACGACCACACCTTGGATATGCAACCCAGATATAGGCCCCACAGACGAAGGAGCTTACAATACAAGTTGAGCGGATCCAGATACGGGCCTCTAAGTTTATATTGGGGCTACCGTTCCGTTGTGAACTCTCTTATAAGGAAAGACTCAACTGGATTTACTTCCACTAACATACTGGCATGAGTACCTAGATTCGTTCATCTCGACCTACTTTATCTACTACCAATTTAGGATCAAATCAATTTCTCGCTCGTAAATGTGAAACAACTACTTTTCAGATATCATTGTAAGTGAGGTCTACTCGTATTTGGAATAACTTGGTTACCTTGGGTTAGGGTTAGGATTAGGTTCAAGCTTTTCTAAACTGTCCTTATTCAGAAATACTGTACTGAAATATTACTGCACTGCTTTGAACCTAAATTATGACCGCTAAAACTTGGAAATCTATCTGTCCCGACTGCAACGCTGTGAGAAGCCTCACCACTGAACTAACATGTTGTTAATTATTATTTGTAATATTTTTTGTCCGGCCGTTTTTCTTGTTCTTCTTATTCTTCTTTTTAAAGTATAGCTCGGGTCTGCAGTAATTGGTTCAAACTGTTGTGGTGCGCCTGCCCCTAAGTATTATTTTGTATTTGTTGTCATGGTATCTTTTGTTGAGTTTTCTGTTCTTGTTTTCTGTAATTTGAAAAAAAAAAATAAAATCTCATGTTGTGTAAGTATCTATCTAACTAACTACTATGAGATCTCTTATCAGTTGCTCTTTTAACAGTCCAATTTCATAATGCTCTTCTAAGCATGATATAGCGCGGCGATGAAAATATCCACGGGCTCCTGTGGCTGTAGCCTCCTCCGCAGGCAACCCTTGTATCTTCCTCTTTGGTCTTCCTTTGTTATCCTGAGGAGAGGGGACTGGGTCCCCGGCAAGAAATCAAGGGGTTGCCTGCCAAATTTGAACATACTTTTTGCCAACTGCGCATATCGCCTTGCGCATACCAAACAGTACTCACACTGGGGAGGGGCAGTAATTTTGTCAGTTGTAAACACTTTCMYRGGGGAAGGTGGGATCAGTATCTTTTATGTTAATATGGCGCCGAACGATCAGACCGAACAAAAGCGACTAAGTGAAAAATTATTGTCTTTAAAATCCTTGAATCTGGATAACTATTCTTCATATAAAATCGAATATGAAGATTTAGAGTTCCCCTTGACAGCAAGCTCAATCCAAGAAGCTGCCGTTAAGTTTTCGTATGGATTGCTGTGGATAAAGAACATGAACGAGACGAAGAAATTTACGTGCGAAGATGTTTTGACTTTGCTAAAAGTCGAATACAAGGCTTCCAAAAACGGAGAGAAACCAATGGTTGTTTTAAACCGTTACCTAAACCGGGCAAGCGATGAAGATCAAGAAGAAGGCGATGTGGATATGTYCATGGACTTTGAACAATCGACTACAACAGTGCCTGTTGTTGGACCTAGCGAGGATATATTGCTGACCGCTTTTCGCGAGTACTTTGGCCACGACGATTTCAGCAGTGTAGTTTTTAGTTGTTTTGAAACTTCAAAAAGAAGTTTCTTTCTACTCGATATAGAAATGAAAGAAAGTTATAGTGCTTAGAAGGAGGCAATTCCGGGAGAAGTCCCTTAGGAATAAATTCGGAAAAATTAATTTCCGACCACGCTGGGATTCGAACCCACGACCTTCGGATTTGTACACCGATGCTCTACCAGCTGAGCTACAAGGCCAGACTGGGAGCAGGTCAGGGTGAAATAGATGTTAAGGTTGCGGTAATAGAATAATGTAAAGATATGAATATGAAGACCGCATGGCACTATGATAAACACGATATAGAAATGAAAGAAAGTTATAGTGCTTAGAAGGAGACAATTCCGGGAGAAGTCCCTTAGGAATAAATTCGGAAAAATTAATTTTTGGAGTTTGGAGTTACAATAACCGAACGAATATTGCTTTTGAAGTATGGCGACCGGGAAGGAGACGAAGGTGTTTCACAATTCAAGCTTAACTCTTTCAAAGATTTTTTTAAAACTTCAACCTCGGCCGTTGCCTTCTCTAAACTTTCTTGTTTTTTCTCGATTCAGCAAGAGTCTTTTTGTATTCCTTCGACAGCACTGGTATTTTTGAATTTAACCTCTTGTAGGCAGCCTTTCGATCCGCCATACATTTACGAAGGCCACCCTATTAAGGTTCAAATCAAGATAAAATGAGGTAAGAGAAGGAATCCCTGGTACTGCGTTCTTAACCAATCATATCAGCCCTTCGTTCTATTTTTAGAAAAAGAGCTATTTTTAGAAATGGAACATGATTGGACAACATCCTTTCGTGTTGAATCTACAAATGTAAATTATGCGTTTTATAAATTATCTATTCCAGGTTAAATATTACTGCTCGAGAGGTCAGAGAATTCAAAGGTCAGATTGTCGATCTAATTTCATGYCACATTACCTTCAGAAGCTGATTCTTCTTCGACACTTTCAAGTTTTCTTTGTTTTGAAGATTCCTTTTCTTCTTCAAGAAGTTTCCTTTTTAAATGCGAATTTCGTAGCTTTTCTTGAACAGTATTTGACATTCAGTTTTTGGCGATGAAAAATAGCCGATATCAAATTCCGATAAACGAGTAGTGGTCGCGCGGGCTTGGTAACAAACTAAAAATAGCTATTTTTCTAAAAATAGAACGAAGGGCTGATATAATGGGTAACAGGGATTCCTTCTCTTACCTCATTTTCTCTTGGTTCAAATATATTCCCCACCCAACCCCGGTCCAGTTGCTGGTCCGCAAAGGTGAAGGACGAGGTCCAAGGCTTCGATATTTGGCAGGCAACTCCTCTTCTTTTTCTCTCTCTCCAGTCCCCCTCAAAAGCCATTTTTCGCCACAGGAAGCCCAAAAAGCCAAAAGCGAGTAGAGTTGCCTGCGGAGGAGGCTACTGTGGCTGCTGCTTTTTCATATTCAATTTTGCCCGCTCAAATGTTACATTTCATCTTGCAACAAAGTGTTTGTCAAACTTGTCAAGTATTGCGTCGTAACTCTTTTCTTCGTCTTACTTGAGTACAAAGCTTTGATGAATATCGTCTGCCTCATCTCCCATTGTATAGATGAGGGTAGTAACTTGTACCTCTTCTTCATCTTCGTGTAAACGAGAAGCTATCCTGAAGCACTCAAATCGACAAATCCCTTTAGGGCATTCTTCCGTGTTTTTGAAGTTGAATGGCTGCTGGTTACAGTTTACTATCTTCCATAGCTAACTCGGGTTTCTAGTCAATCTTGCCAGTGATCTGAAGTGGAATACTCAAGTATCTGAAGTTATAAAGAAGGCCAACAAGCGTCTGTACTTTCTGCGTTAACTTAAACATTCTCAGGTGAAACCTAAAGAGCTGCTTACATTCTTCCTCACCTGTATTCGACCTAAAACTGAATATGCAAGTGCAGCGTTTACCTCAGTATCTCTCTACTGATTTAGAGCACTGTCAGTATAGTGCATCAAGCCAGAAAAGCACAGAGCAGAGCCATGAAACGTATAAATTTATTCATGAAGTACATTCAACTGATTCTTGCACAATATACACACAACATTGATACTAGTATTATTGATTACACGGAAAGAAGCGGTCAGAAGCGGTCAGAAGCGGTCAGAAGCGCGCACTACGCATTATTTCTCCTGAAAAGACTTATAAAGAAGCTTTATTGGAAATAAGGTTAACAACTCTGAGTGAACGTCGCGATACAATCACTTGCAAGATGCATCTCTTTAAAGATTTATGCCATCCAAACCATAAGCTACACTACTGCTACCACCAAAGAAGACGTGTACTATCAATCTGATAAGGAAACGAACCTTTTCTTCGGTCCCCGCCCACACAGAAAGGACAGAGAAGGGTTTTATATTCTAAAATTCTTTGAAATGTTTTAAATAGTTTTCAATTATCTATCAATTATTTCTATCTATATTGGACATTGAATTATCAACAGTATTTAAAATATGATATAAGTTTACATTTTTACGCGTATTTCAAATAATTATATACATTTACATATCCATATTCATATAACTATCGTTAATATAGATTTTTACATTTTAGAAAGTTTTCGTTTAAATAGACACAATTCATACTACACGCTGCTACGTTTATCAATAGAGCCATATATGGATATATCTACCTCAACTCGCAAATAACATCTGACACAATGTGATATTAGTAACGCACCAAACGAGTGTTGGAATCAAAGAGGAATTTTTTAATAGCACAAATCATTATATGTCGCAAGATATGTCATAAAGTAAATACTAAATCATCTGGATAATGTCAGTTTATAAAAAAAAGCCTTCAAATATAGTATATTCTTCCATCGTTCAGGTCACGGTGGCAACGCTGGGCGTCTCTTGTACAGCGTGAGAAAACTAGAAGGACATATCTCACTAGTAACCTGCCCTGGAGAAGGAGGCCAGGCGGCTAAGAATGGTAGAGGAGGTCCTGGTAAGATGGTTATAGCATTACAAAAAAAAATACAATAAAAGACGCAAAAACATATTTCCTGTATTAATGGAGATTATAACAATGCGAAATTTAACCTATCCTTATATATTTAAAATGTAAATAAGTCCTCGAAATAGAAATGTGCATAGAAATCCGGTACTTGTGCTGCAGCATGTTCCGTCGAACAAATGGTTGTGAAATAAGATAAATGTCAACAAAGTAAAAAAGTAGGTCAAATCAGTTACTAACTTCTGATGGAACGACATCTTATTCCACAACTGTTTCGTTGAAGTCCATAATTTTTTTCGGGCGACCCACACATTTCTTAATAATCGCATAGATGATTATTTACACTGCGAGGATCATAATTCACTGCATATTTATTCATTACAGTTCGACACATTACTTAAAACTAAAATAAATTCATCAACAGGAGGAAAAGGAGGTCAGGGTGGACGTGGAAGAAAATGCAAAAAACACTATCGTGTTGTAGGCAAGCTTGGTATAGGCGGTGGTAGTTGCGAAGGGGATGGTAGCTCTAAACGAGGACCAAGAGGATCTTCCGGTAAAAGTGGACAAAACGGAAAAAGTTGAGTATAAAACTACTATACTCTTACCACCATGACTACCATTACTACTACTTGTACTATTCCTACTGTACCACTACTACAATCATGTCTACCAATGCTACTACTTCCAGTATTACTACTGCACTACTCATGACTCACTACATCATGACTACTGCACTACTCATGACTCACTACATCATGACTACCATTGCTACTACTTCCATTATTACTACTGCACTACTCCTACCATCATGACTACCATTGCTACTACTTCCAGTATTACTACTGTACCACCCCTACCATCATGACTACCATTGCTGCTACTTCCACCCCTACCATCATGACTACCATTGCTACTACTTCCAGTATTACTACTGCACTACTCCTAACATCATGACTACCATTGCTAGTAGCTCCACTTTTACTGTACTACAACTGCTATTGTTTTCTCTTGTTGTAATCCTAACAGCTAAAGTAAAAGCTGGTACAAGGGGACAGGTTAGTGCGAAGAATCTTCAAGGAAAGCCTTTTGACGACTCCAGAAAGAAATATCCTTTGGTTTTGATTCGTTTGATGATGAGAGTGGCCGAGGATCGGGTGTGGGCTAACGATCTCGTGGAAGCAAAGGCAATTCTTGATTTCGTTGTCAACATAACCAAGGACAGAGACAATGCGTCTCAAACTAGAAAATGTAAGTAGGTTAATCAAGCGGTAAAAGACATTATAGCTCAAAGTCATTTGAATATTATGATTGTAATTATGCAAATGAGTGTATATTGGATCAGGAAATGGACGCTCCAATCACTTCATTCAAAGAGCACAAGCAGTAGGATGGTACTTAAGAAGTTCCCATCTTGAATTAGGGTTAACAATTTGGTTCGAACTCATATCAGTTTTACATTCTGCTATAGTAGTTTTTATAAGTTAAAATTATTGTCATCTGACAAAGAATTAATAATTTCCAGGAGGGAAGGTCCTTGATTACTTCTAGGTAATTGTTTGAATTGTAAAGTTAATGCAGAGTGATCAGTCGATGGTGCCACTATTATATCTGTTTTATGTACTGATGTTTGCAGATGATCCGATACCAGAAAGTAGTCTAATCTAGTTTGCAACATTTCTTGTTTATTGGATGTCCTTCCTTGCCATAACCTCTGCATGTAAATCATTTTGCTTTATGATTTCTAATTCTCCATAAATCGGTAAAGTCCAGTTCCTCCTTAATCGTTCTTATAAGCTCTAGTGTCCCAGTTTTTAATTTTGGATACCCTCATTTTGTTTCTAAATTATTCTAAATTTGTTACGAAGTTTTAAATCTCAGCCATATTTAACAATTAGATCTTGAGGGCGAGTGGACTACGAGCTGATAGCCCATAAGGCCGAAGGCCGAATGGGCTATCAGCTCGTAGTTAACGATGCCGAGAGATCTATTTTTTTAGTATTACCATACTAGATGGACAAAAAATGAATGGAATATATAAATAACTAAATGTTATATTCTTGCTAAAAATACGCAAAATGTTGTCGCTTTTCGCTAGTTGAGGACTATTGCAAAGAGACCCCGATTAGCCTAGCAAATCAGAACGAAGGTTTTGCAATAGTCCACTAGTATGGTAATACTATTACTAATAGTGAATAACAGGCAGATTTATCAATACTTTCTAACTTTTCATGGAGTTTTTCTAAGAATGTAATTTGTTCCTTCTCTTTGTTAGGAAAGTGGGAATTTACAAGTAAACATTCATTTCCTTGTATAATACATTCAAGATAATCAATCGTCCGTCGTTATCTGTCCACTGATCTAAAATGCTGTATTCTAACTTTGGGCTTAATAAAATGGCATTTACTTTTGAAAGTTCCGTGAGAGAATACAATTTCGCCTCTCAAACGTTGTCTCCATTCACTTTCAACCTCGATTGTGCTACTGGTTTAGTGTAAAAAGGAGATTTCTTCATCTCCTGCGTGTGGTTGTGTTAACCCAATGAAACATTTTTTTTGATTTTCTAAATTCTCGCATTAAGATTCATGTGTAAAACCAGCTTTTTACTAGCGTCAGAATTACGATGGACGTCAAACTTATGCTTAATTAGCTGATTAAGAATAGTCGTTACCACTGAACCAAACCAATTTATTTTATTTTTAAGAAATAGAAGATTTTTTCCGTGACTCTACCGGTGAAATAGAGCACGCGTGATGTTGGGAGAGACGGCGAGAAAAGTTTTTTTAAAAAGCCTTAAAACTTTTTCGACTGTTTCTCCCAACATCACAAGTGCTCTATTTCAGCGGTAGAGTCACAGGAAAAAATCCTCTATTACTTTTATGATATAGCATTTTGAAATTTTGATAAAAATAAGGTTTTATTTTAAGATGAATACAGATATTCTCCTTACATTGAGCACGGTAGAAAATGTGCAAATTTACACTTTCAATCAAAAACTTTCAAACAAAATGGCTTAATTAACGAAAACATTGTAGTATAAAAACGAGCGACAATAAATTGCAACGTTTCGTTGTCATCCCGACAACATTTTCAAGCAGAATTTAATTATGGAAGTTGAGAAAACTTATATAGTGAATGAAAACAAAAGATATTATGTGGTTTTACAAATCTAAACAAACACTTTGGCTCTAATAGAGTCTGATTGGACATTCAATGTAGGACCTAATTTACGAATAAACTAGACGATCATGGATCGCTTACGTGGGCTTCCTTTGACAATGGTGTTTCATTTTCACAATATAGTCTTTGTTTGTAATAAGTCAAGACAGAATTAAGTTAAATATGTTATCAATTTATTACATCATAATTTTTTACCGAAATGAACTCTAAGTAAATAGCCGACTTTAGATATTTTGGTTCAGTGACCATGCACAAAAGAATTGCAGACGTGGCTCCGGGGAAATAAAGAATAAAACGATATTATACGCTGTATACTCTTTGATTGGTCATTTTGAATCGTGCACAAATAACTCTTTGCAATATTAAAAATAAATAAAATTATCAATGGATAATCTTGATTTATTCTTTATTTCCCCGGAGCCTCGTCTGCAATTCTTTTGTGCATGGTCACTGAATCAAAATATCTAAAGTCGGCTATTCTTTCTCAGTTTTCCAAAATAACTAGATCGACTTTACGCTCAAGAGCGTCTATATTATTCAAAATATCTGATAGGTCATACAGTTCACATAAACAATAGAAACGGTACAGTCTTGGCAGTATAACTTTGAATAATATTTTGATCATTTGAATCATGTATCTGTATCTTGTGTTTCTGTTCTTTTTTATTTGGTGTTTTTCATTAATTTGTAAATCTGATGTTCTACACTATTCAACGGCATTAAACACACACATCACACACTAGCAATACTTTTTGAATATTGTATTGGTCTTATAAGCGACTGTAGGTAATACAACAAAAGTAAATACAATAATATTCGTATTAAATACAATAAGAAAACGCAGATAATCCTTAATTAGAGAAGTGCCAGGGAGGCCAGAAAAAAAAACCTCACGAAAGAAGAGGAAATCTGGACGGGGCCAAGGCACGAAACTCACTTCCCCCGCAAAAGACAAAAATTCTCACAAATATACATTAAAGTCCTAGGTTTTTAGAAACACTTAACAACTGATCTTTGGAAAAAGAAATATATCTAAACTTTGAAGAAGGACAACGCCAACCAACGTGCCTGTCTAACAACTTATCAACGACGTCTTTATTGGCTGCATTAGACGCTGCACCAGCTCTAATACTATGTGTGCAAAATGAATTAATGTCGTCAACAAATGGAGACAAATGTTTACGAAATTCTTCTCTGATCGTAGAATAACTAACGCCTTTAGAAATATGGAATCTCTCAGATGACTTGGAACTGACAATCCGTCTAAGAACGGGGCTGTCAGCCGCAGACTCGCTTGGGAGGGCCCAAAACATCCTCTCGCTAATACCCACAGGGCAAGTCTCTTTACCAGATCTATACAGCAATGATGTGTGGCCCTCTCTGTACTGGTCGTTTTTCCTCTTTMGAATAAACACCGACATGTGATCGTCGAATATCCGAATGTTCCCTATTGTTAAACTGAGCAGCTCGTCTATCCTGAAAAATCCAGAGTAGCCCACGAGAAGCACAAACAAAAAGCGTAGAACCGATAAAGAGGACTTCTCTGTCAAAGCAGAAGCAACTTTTTGGACAGTCAAGCTCCAGCGGAAGAGGCTCCTTCGGAGAAACTGGTTTAGCAAGCAACCGTTTGCCCCCTGAGACACACTTTTAACAACAGCGCTGTCTGTAGGAGATGGAAAAGAGCACAACTTGTGGACCCAGGCTATGCTGTACGAAATACCTTCTAGCGACGAGTTGGAAGCACCTTTGGAAGCAGCCTCGTAGGCCTGTTCGGTAAGGAAAAGAGTCACGCGCAGAGGATCTGCAGGCAGCATACGAACACCGGTTTTACTAGACGCCAATGAACCCCATTTTTCCACCCAGAACTGTACTTAGAGATGGTTGAAGGCGGCTTGGAAGACAACTGCAGATCCACCAGGCCAGGTAACAAAGCAATGAGAGATTCGTCTTGAAAAAGATCAGCTTGGCTCCAAACATTAGCATTAAGGATATCTGAAAGAAACTGAAACAAAACAGCAACGTAAGAGACTAGCCTAARATATCGTCACCAAACGGTGAGCCTAATATGGCAAATAACTCTTACACCAAAATGTAGGTCATACAAATCAAATCAATCAAATCAAATAAACCATTGACATCAAAACGGCGATCATACCAAAGACATGCCAAAACTTACAACAAACTAGAACCAAACGGTGGGTCATGCTAAAGGCATATACAAACTATCACCAAACAGTGGGCCATGCTAAAGGCATATACCAGCTATCACCAAACGGTGGGCCATACTAAAGGCATATACAAACTATCAGCAAACGGTGGGCCATACTAAAGGCATATGCAAACTATCAGCAAACGGTGGGCCATATTAAAAAGGAATATACCAACTATCAGCAAACGGTGGGCCATACCAAAGGTATATACAAACTATCAACAAACGGTGGGCCGTCCTAATAGCATATGATTAATTACCTGAAAATTCTAACCGCAAAGCTAACATATTAAAATTTGGACAACCCGAAAAAACACTTTCTTTCTTGGTGTACGTCGCCTTCTGCCCAGGACCCTCGATGATAAGGTCAGGAAATCTTGGAAGGACAATACAACCCTTGACAAAGGACTTGAATGAAGACCACTGGAAGCATGTAAATAAGGCCAAATCAAAGCAGAGTGCCGGAAACGATCAGAGTACCGAACCCATTTGAGGCACGTAATTTCTTGATGGTGGAAATGATCAAGTTCACTGGAGGACATAACCAGTTGTTGACTAAAGACCAGTCTTGGCTGAAAGCATCGACACCAGCGCTGCCTGGRGAGGAGAACTTGGAATTATAAATAGGCAGCTGCGCATTGTAGTACGAAGACAAAGCGATCCACGGCATAAGGGCCCCAGAAGGAGTTAACCCAGTTGAATACCCTTATGTTAAGCGACCAATCRTCAGCATCTCGGAATCTGCTTAGTAGGTCAGCTATGTTGTGATTGACCGTTCTTTAGGCTTTATTTCACTTTAAAACACTGCTTACAATTCAATATGGCGGTCACATTTCGATATCCTATAACCGCTGGTCAAAAA